CAGCATCTGTTCGAGAAACTACTGAATCCTCTCTCAGTGAATTTAATCAAGGGTGTGCAGGTAAATTTGCACGCTTGATAATTTGTATAAATATTATTTTCCCAATGATGTAGAATTTATTCAAGGACTACACTGATGGGGATTGGTAACTAGAATGTCAGTTGGCTTCCCTGGAATCAGAGGGTAATCCAATAAGGTTCCTGAGTTTGACACAAGAACCTAGAGTAGTTAGCAATATTAGATTACGGGAGGAACAAGTTTCTGGGATTTAGGAGTTTTGCATTCCCTTTGAAATAGGAAGGTATCTGATATTCCCACCACATTCTTATTGCTATCTCATTTCTGCGGTTAGGATTCCCAGCAATCCTGAGATTCCCATAAATCTAACTTTCAAGCCATCATATGCTCCCTGTATTGAAGTAGTGTGATGTTTGAAGTCCAAGTACATTGGGTTTGTCTAGAGCCAGTGTACCTTATTGTTCTGGTATTGCATTTTTATCCCTGTATCTACTTCATGTGCCTGAGGGCAGGCCTGGCACAGTGGGGAAGTCCTCCCCACTTGTGCCAAGAGGTCCTGGGTTTGAACCAGCCTCTCTGCATTGCACTTTGTAGGGGTAAGACTAGGTTCCTATAATCCCTCCCCAGACCCCACCTTGTGTGGGAGCTTCTATGCACTGGGTCTGTCCTATCTACTTCATGTGCCTGTAAGATATGCAATTTGGGAAGGCAATTTTGTCTGTTTCTTTGGAATACCAACCCTTTCAAACCGAAACTGCAATCTGACAAGTCTTCATATTCTAGATTCTGTAATCAAGCAGGCGGATTGGGACTACTCTAAAATCCTAGAGAAAGTTCGGCGTGATATTGAAGACCATGCACTTTCAGTTCGTGAAAGCAAGCTAACAGAACTAACAAATCATGCTAAGGTTAAGTATGGAAACCTAGAGAAGTTTTTTTTTATTAGTTTCTCAGCACATACTTCGCTTCTGCATATTTTTGGCACTTGCTATAGCTTTTGGTTACCTCGTGGTCATAATTTAAGTTATGTATACTTTCAGGAGAAACTAAGAAAAGCACTTGTTGAACCTGTGGAATCTCTTTTTGATGCCGCCGGCCAAACAACTTGGGCATCAATAGAAAGCCTCTATAAACGTGAGACACAGGCCATCCTGCCAGAGGTTTTTAAAGCTCTTTCTGGGTTTGAAATGGGAAGCGAATTCTCAGAAGAAATGGTGTCAAAATTAAGGGATTATGGTCAAAGCATTGTGGAAAATAAGGCTAAAGAAGAAGCTAGCAAAATTTTGATGCATATGAAGGAAAGGTACAGAAATACTTATTGCTTGTTCCATGTACCAATTAACATTATAACCTTCTGATAAAGTTCCTTGTTATTGCCAGGTTCACAGTGGTGTTTAGTCATGACAAGGACTCAATGCCAAGGACCTGGACAGGAAAGGAAGATGTCCGTGCAATAGCAAAGGAGGCTCGATCTGCTGTACAGGATTCTCGCCTTTCTAACATGATGACAAACAATATATCCCTTTGTTTTATTGTTAAGTGCTCTTACACTTACATTGCAGGCTCTCAAACTTCTGTCTGTATTAGCCGTCATTCGCTGGGATGACAAGCCAGATAGGATTGAAAACATTCTGATTTCCAAACTTCTAGATGGTTCTGTTGCGTCAAAGAGTTCAAGTGCTTCTTCTGGTGACCCGCTTGCTTCAACTAGCTGGGAAGAGGTAGTTTAGTGTTTATTTGTTATTCATGCAGCAAAAAGTGGAATTGCTTATACCGAGGATCCATCACTTTACCAAACAACTGAAACAGGTTCATCCAAAGCATACGCTTATTACGCCAGCTCAGTGCAAGTCAGTGTGGAAGCAGTTCCAATCAGAAACTGAGTTCACCATTACACAAGCAGTATCAACGCAGGTTTGAATTTATTTAATACTCCCTCCATCCCATAATATAAGAACGTTTTTGACATTAATGTAGTGTAAAAAACGTTCTTATATTATGGGGCGGAGGGAGTACATAGTTTTGGTCTCTTTTAGTGTATTTAATATTCAGAGATGTTGTGCTAGCAAATTATTTACTCCCTCCGTCCCAAAATAAGTGACTCAACTTTGTACTAACTTTGTACTAAAGCTAGTACAAAGTTGAGTCACTTAATTTGGGACGGAGGGAGTATTTCTGTAGAACAACTCTTTTCAGGAACCATGGCAGGTGTGATGCCTTTGCATTTAAGAAGTAAAGAGCTTTAGGGGGTGTTTGTTTCCAGGGACTTTTTTGTGTAGGGACTAGAAAAGTCCCTCTTAGAGACTTTTTTACCAAACGGGAGGGACTTTTTAGGGACTAAATTAGGCATTTGGGACTAAATGAAGAAGACTCTCAAGGAGAGTCTTTTTGGGACTTTTTGGGACTTCTCCAACAATGCCCCTCCATGCACCCATTGGCCCGCCACCCCATGGTGTTGTTTGATTGTTATTTTTTTATATACTAGGGGCAACATGGTCATTTAATAACCTGTAGGAAGGGACTAGGGACTTTTTAGTCTCTGGAAACAAACGGCAAGGGACTTTTTAGGGACTAGGGACTTTTTAGTTAGGACTAGAAAAAGTCCTAGGACTTATGAACCAAACAGGGCCTTAGAATACCTCTATAGTTGCATTAGAGAATTGTTCAGTTTGAAGAATTTATTGCTCCCCTCCATAAATTGGATTATTAATGATTGTGCATTTTTTGTGTAGTGGTGGATTCGATTTTATTTTCTGATGATGCTTTCTTTTTTCTAGAGGGTGAAATAGATTCTTATTGTATTGTCTTTGACTTGAACTCTTTTTTTATCTCACTCCAGCAAGCTCACAGGCGCGGTAATGGCAGACTGCCTCCTCCTTGGGCGCTGGTTGCTATGGCAGTTCTTGGTTTTGATGAGATCATGATGCTTCTGAGGTACGTAGCTCAACAGTATGCGCAGGGGTTTCTTACACAAACTAAAAACTATTAACATGGTGTGCTGTCATTCTTGTTCTGCTGTGCAGGAATCCTATATACGTGTTCTTGCTATTTGTGGGTTATTTACTTGTCAGAGCTTTAGCAGTGCAGCTAGATATTGGCAGAGAATTCCAAAATGGAATGGTAAGATGTTGAACATCTGTTAAAATGGAACGGAGTAGTAGTGTTTTTCTTGTTGTACTCCCTCCGTCCGGAATTACCTGTCGCATAAACGAATGGAAATGGATGTATCTAGAATTAAAATACATCTAGATACATTTATTTCTCCGACAAGTATTTCCGGACGGAGGGAGTACAATGCTATCGTGAAATCATCTGTGCAGAAGGTGTGTTGAAAAAGATGCACAGAATGTCAACTAATTTTGTACTTACCATACATGTTTTGATGCCTGGTTATGTTTCATCAGAAAGCAACATATTGTGGAGGAAGCACGAGTACTGTGCAGGAATCCTATAGACCAGAGAACTGCATTGTCTATTGAGCTACAGTACTTTATAGAACAAGTCAATTCCGAGGCATGGGTTTCTATGCTCCTAAAATCAGTTGTTCCTAACATTGAATAGCCCATTTTAGGAGGACAGAAGAGACCTAGTATTAGTTAGCTTTAACTCTGTTTATTCCGAAATAAGCTTGTGACAGATTGAACTGAACCCTCTTCATCTTGATGAACACATAAATTAAATTGATGTTACTCTGCAGGTTCCTGGGATCCTATCTGTTTCAGCAAAACTACTACCCACTCTGCAGAATCTTCTAAACAAAGTCGCAACTGATCAGCAGCAGCCGCAACAACAAGGGCAGCAGCACCGCCCTCCGGCCGCAGAAGCTCCGGAGGCGCAGCAACCGCCACCCCCGCTACTCCTGAGCCCCAAAAGCTCGATGAGTGAACTGCGGAGGCTGCACACGCCGCCGAGCCCGGTGCGCAGATCGGTATCGTCCCCGTCACACTCCTCGCCGCCGTCACCCAAGGCGTCGCCCCGCAAAGTGGCAGAGGAGCAGAAACCAAGACGAGCACCTGACAACGAGTCCAGCAGTGCTTACTCCATAGTGTGATCCCGGGAGGGGGGGTTTGAGCATCTTCTTACCCCAACTGAATGCATATAGCAAACGGTCTTGGTGAGTATATGCCCGGATAGAATAATGTAGCACCCTTTCTCTCTTGCAATTTTGTAAGGAAAGTTATAATCTGTAGAGTGGACAAGCAGCTGTCACCATATGACATTTTCATGAGCATGTATAGAACTATATACAAGCATAGAGGAAGCTACTCCTGTAAAGAAATATAAGAGCATTTGGATCACTACTTTAGTGATCTAGACGCTCTTATTGACACGTAGGACATGTCCAGGCTCCAGTGACACGATTCTGAACCGTATTTTTTGCCGTAGTCCTGATGTCAATTCTTTTTCTTTTTTTAAGGAAAATGTCCATTCTTTTTTCATGACATATACCTTGATATGTTAATTAATGCTTGTGAGAAGCAGGTTTCTCAAGGGAATTGGGAAGGCATACTCCTACTGCAGAGTGCAGAGCACAGTAAGCTGCCGAGTTGGCGATCGCCGGGTAGAAAGTTTTGCGATAAGCTCCTTGTCAGTGGTGCCCTGTAATAGTTGGCGCATTTCACTGATATCCGCGTGAAGGTACGTACCATTGTACAGACACAAATTACGGTGACCGGGAGAAGCAGTCGTCCACGCACAACCTGTCTCCCTCATGCTTTTTCGTCAGTACAAGCAAACAACAGTCGGTCATTTAGAAGCACCACTCTTTGCAACACCGCCTGTGTCGTGTACCACCAATACAACAACAGATCTCACATCGTATGGACTCACATCACATCACACCGAAAGAAAAGAAGAAGAAAAAACGAGAGAGGAGAAGAAAAGAAGAGACCCAAGTACACCACTGCTATACTTTGGTGCTAAACCAAGCCAGCATACGTTTTCTGCGTGCATGGCTGGCTTAGCTCTGTGTCATGATCGACTTATTGGGGCTGGGAGGAGCGGATGTTCTTGGGGTAGAACTTGTCGCCGCCGACGGCCATGAGGATCTTCTTGCTGAGCGCGTCGCCGTCCTTGTCGCTGGACTTGGAGACGTAGAAGGCCCTGGAGAAGCAGTCGACGAGCTCCGGCGCGGCGCACATCACCATGTGGAACGGCCAGTACCACCCGGGCCACGTCACGTAGCTGTCGCCCCGCCGCACGCTCGCCACCACCACCTCCGCCAGCGTCTCCGTCCTCCCCACCGGCAGCGGCCCGACGTTTATCTGCAATCCCATCCGTCATCAATCAATCAGTGAAACCAACCTATCGATCGACGGAGGAACTGCCGTGAATGTAATGGTGGTTCAGCGAGGGAGGGAGGGAGATGGTTGGGTGTGCGCGTACGTCGCGGGCGTCCTCGTCGAAGCCGACGTTGCCGTCCTTCTGCACGCCCTTGCCCATGGTGAGGTTGGAGACGACGTAGCCCGGCATGAGGATGGTGACGCGGACGTGCGGCCCCAGCTCCGCCCGCAGCGTCTCGTAGAACCGGATCACCGCGGCCTTGCTCGCCTGCAAATGCAATGGAGTACATCCACCGACCGGAGCGTTAATTCTCAACGTGGCACGTACGCAGCGATCGATAAAGATGTTTGGTGAGCTGCTGATCCCGAATTCATTGCGGTGATTAAAATCAAATCTGGGTTTCTCCTGCCGTGGCGGTGGCATGTGCGGCATGCGCATTCAGCAACATCAAAAACAAGGGTTTACGTACGTTGTAGAAGCTCATCCGCGCCACGGGGACCCTGCCGGCCACGGAGGCGGTGACCACGATGTTGCCGCGGCTGGCCTTCAGGTAGGGCAGCGCGAAGTAGGTCGGGTACACCGCGCCCCAGAAGTTGAGATCCTGCGTACACGTACGTGGTACGTATGGTGGAGAAATTAAGAACATGATTATACTTGGTATAAACTTGTTTACAAGGTAGTAGCTAATGAGGAAACTAATCGTGGGTTTCTGTTGCTTGTTTCTCAAGTGAGTAGGTTGCTTACCATGACGTTCTGGAAGGCGGACACGTTGGTGATCTCCTCGAAGAAGCAGCTGGACCACACGCCCGCGTTGGCCACCAGGTGATTCACTGCGTGCATTCATGCAGAACCCAGCGAGACAGGAAGTATTAGCAGCTGAAACTCACTGGAGCAGTGCCATTTTTTGCTAGCTAGTAGCTCCAAATGATCCAGCGAGACTTGAATCGGCAAGCTGAACTGACTACGACCACGCACTCACTCACTCACTCAACGCCTGATCGGTGCAAACAACCGTAAGTAGCTGGGGTACATTCCTATCAGCCGGACTGGGCATGGACAGCCTCACATGCATCACTGCTCCGGAAAGTGATTTGCTTCAACTAATAGCCATAATGATGCACGTAGGAGTATATATAATCATACTCCGTCTCTATCTGAGTGAGAGCTTGCTGTCAGTGTCAGGTACCGCACGCTGAGATTAACAGAGCACTTACATTTGCCGAAGTGGGCGAGGGTCTCCTCGACGGCCCGCTTGGCCTCGTCCACGTCGGTGATGTCCGCCGGCACCACCAGCGTGTCCGGCGCGCCCAGCTCCCGCGCCGTCTTGGCCACGGCGCGCAGCGCGATCTCCGTCCGGGCCACCAGCGCCACGCACGCGCCTTTCCTCGCGTACTCGTACGACAGGTGCTGCAAATCCAAATCACAAGCCAAAATCTGTAAATAATACTGTAGTTCATTCATGACCACCGCCTTATAACTGAGGCTCTCCTTCATAATTTACTCCGGCCGGGCGGTGACCGCGGAGCCACATGCAGCGGCAGCGTGCACGAGAGCTGCCGGTGCTCGCAGGTTTCCAGGAGGCCGATGCGACGGCCAGGACTGGCGCCCATGCTCCAGGATTTATGGGGTGGACGGTGAGAATTCAATTCAATCAATTCCATCCTGCGCTGCCCTGCCCGGAAGCTTTCAATTCAATTCAATCAATTCCATCTTGGTACTACTGTACTCCTGGTACTACGCTAGTTACCGGAAGCTTTCAAGGCCTTCAAGGTGGTACTATATATATACTCCTGTAGTATCTCCTCTCCTTATATTCTTCCTGCAGCTTCTGCACACGTATAACAATTCTTCTCTATTTATTCTATCTATGAGTGGGTTTTCTAGTCAGTTTGCGTTTTACTACTACCAAATATGGCGCAATTTTTGTGTGCTACTTCTTTTTTCTGGTTTTGAGTGTCGCTAACCGAAAAGAAGAAAGCCGCTGGAGAAGACGTTCCCACGTGGTAGTGGATTATGGAAACCGTGGGCCAGGCCGCCACAGATAAACGCTATTTTAGCTACGGCACAAGGTTTCAAAAGAGAGATGTTTGAACAACATTTTCAGACGCCTGCTGCTAATCAGCGTTCCTCATGAGTGTACATGGAATCTAAATGAGGGGCCAAAACGAGGTCTCTACGAGCTATCATCATCAAATCAAAGCATGCATATACACCAACAAAAGGAGGACCAGACTTTATAATAAAATTTAGAAGGAAAAAAAAACCCAATTCTGCTGAACCAACCGATAATCTGACAACGAGTATGCCAGCAATGGAACAGAAACAACTAACGTATAATTTTCGGTCGAGATAGTTTCAGTAGTAGAACTGTAAAAGGGTGGCCAGCACAAACCAACACGTACGTACGGGTCTAGTCTAGTCTGTTTATTACCGCGTACGTACATATGTACGCATGCATGTAGATGCAGGGAATGGTCAGAGACTGACGGACGGGTCAAGATCTTACCGCATGGGTGGAACCCAAGCCATGAATGACCTGCGCAACGGGAAGTCGGGAACGACTGTACAAGAGCCTAGGGGGAGGCAGGCAGGCTTTACTGACCTCGCCGATGCCGGAGGAGGCGCCGGTGATGAGCACGACCTTGCCGCGGAGGTCCTCGCCGGCGGCGAAGGGCCTGATCAGCAGCCTGTAGACGAGGCGGCAGAGGAAGGCGACGGGGAGGTATGCGAGGAGCACCAGCGCCAGCCCCACGTACATGAAGCCGCCGAGGAACCCGTTCGTCAGGGCTTGCCTCGCCATGCCGAACGAAGCTTCGCTAATGGCGGCTGTCCTTTCTGATGCCCTGCCCGCCGGAGAAGAAGATGTTGGATGGCTGTAGCTCAGGTGGTGGTGGAGATGGGGAGCTCGTGGCCGGTGTCTATTTATTTATGGCTCCGGCCGCCTATGTGCCCGTGTGTGGAGTTGAGGGGTTGAGAGGGAATTGATGAGTGGGTGGGCTATAGGGCCATTGAAATGTTGTATTCAACCCAAAAGGAAAATGTAGTACTAGTTGTATTAAGATATATTTTTTCCATCTAATTTTTTTTAGAAACACTCTTTTCTCTGCGAGTGAAAAACAAATACTCCCTCTCACCCATATTAAATCGATGGTTTAATACAAAGTTAAGTACTAAACCCGCGGCAATTAATATGAAATGGGATGGAATATTTTTCCTCCGTATGAAGCAGCCTTTTGGGACTCCCGCACTAGAGTTCTTGGTGCATGTTGTTCTCTTCAAAATTTCTAGTAATACTGAAAAACATATAAAAGTTTATGCATGCAGATTGGGGTGTTCTTTACCATCACAAAAAGTTTCAAAATTAAAACTTAGATTAGCATGCTGCACAAAAATACAAGCAGCAGGGGTCGAAAAGGCTGATTTAAACTTGTACAAAAACGGCCAAGCTTCTTATTTTTTGCACATGAAGCATCCGTCGGAATTATTTTATAAAACAATTATTAGTTCAACAACGTGTATATTCTTTTGGTGATTTTTTGACAGGCCTAAAAAGTGGAAAATGTGTCTACAAAAGTGGAAATATTTTTGGCACAAGGAGCATTGGTGCCAGAGACTGAAAGTTATTTTTTTTTCAATATACATAATAGAATTGTGTGTCTTTTGTATTAAGGAGAGAGAAGAGTATCAGGTTATAGATAACACCGTAAATGTCATTGATGGTATCCCAACTCCGCAAAACATGTGGTTGATTACACACAATTGCTACTGTAGCTACAATCACTGACAAACACATGTCGCCACCCTTCGTGTCCTCACCCCTGTTGTCCGGGATCTTGCTATGCCAAGCACCACGTTCCTTTCATTTAACTGTGTCGTGGTTTCATAAGCGGCGCGTCTAGCTACCATATAGTGCTCTTTTTGCGGTATACCGTATAGTGCTGTTGTGTGCATGTGATTGGAAAGAAAATAGAATTACAGTTATGCAAAAAGTCCTACTTTCTCAGTTCTCAAAAGAAAGGCACATAACTTTTGAATGAAATCAAAGGGTACAAATTTTACATGAAAACTACCAACAACTACAATACTAAAAGTACCCTGCAAAAAAAACTAAAAGTAATATGAAACTATATTTTATGATGTAGTATTATAGTTGTTGATATTTTCTCTAAAAACTCGGTCAAACTTTGTACCATTTGACTAGAGCCGAAGTTATATGTCTTCCTTTTAAAAACAAATGGAGCACAAACCAAGCAATCTATATAAAAAAGTACAGGAATCCTTTCTATGGTCTAAATCCCCCCCCCCTCCCCCCACCACCACCACACACACACAAAAAAAAAATACAAATTCCGTTTGATCAATTCTGAGGCCCTGTCCTATGAGACCTTATCACGATGACTTCTCAATTGTCTACTACAACAAATTTTGTCCAGCTCCGACAAGAGAGAGGTGATGACCGCGGCGCGCCTTCGGCTCGCTTCAGTAAATGTAATTTTTATTATTTTTAGTGTTCCTTGAGCTGCCATGATTAGATCGAAAGTTTTTAATTTTAAAAAAAGTGCCCTAATCATTGGTCACTGTCCAGATTGGTGGTGTAGTGAGGTGATGGGCAGGGAGGAGCGGGACGTGAGGTGATGACCAAAGTTAATACCGGTGGGCTTGTCCGTCGAGGGGTGGGGTTGGCTTCCTTTGGAAGCAAAGCCAATCATGCAACCTCCGTCTGGAAATACTTGTCATCATAATGGATAAAAGAGGATGTATCTAGATGTATTTTAGTTCTAAATACATATCTTTTTATCCATTTTGATGACAAATATTTTCGGACGGAGGGAGTATCTGCTAGCTCTTGGACCTTGGAGACGTAGTACACAACCTACATTAGGATTAAACATGCTATTACGGCTAAATCTAGTCTGCTAGTACTGTACTTTCAGTAACAGTGATGCAATGAAAAATCTATTCCCGTGAGTACTTACCTAGTTATTGTTTTCTTTGGAGTTTTTGTAGGACTATAAATTCGAACCGTATAGTCCATTAGACACCATTTCTCAAGGAAGACGATCGAGTGCACATCGCTGTCGCAGTCGCGACATCTACCGGGGGGCCGGCCGGGCCAAAATATGGTGGACACGTCCACTGGCGTCGTCCGTCCGTCCCATGCCAGTCCAAGTCAAACAGTGTCTATACCTTGCCCGGCCCATATGAGGCCATGAGATTTATTAAACCTGGCAACGAGTTGGTTGGAACGCCGGCGAAAAGTATAGGGTGCACGATTAATGGCGCCGAGCGCCTGGCGGCAACAAATGCCAGCGTTGACCCCATGGCTTGTACTCCCTCCGGTCTTTTTTACTTTGCACATTGGATTTGCTGAAAGTCAAACTTTGCTAAGTTTGACCAAATTTATATTTAAAATTATTAGCATCTATAATATCTAATAAATATAATATAAAAATATATTCTAAGTGATATTGGTGTTGTTATGTGAATGTCTATAATTTTTTATATAACCTTGGTCAAAGTTGGATTAGATTGACTTCGGACAAACCTAATATGCAAAGTAAAAAGGACCGGAGGGAGTACTACTGGTAAGTATTTTGTCACCAGGACGCCATACGCTCATACTCTACGTCTACGGTATTCACTACGTACGTACGTACCTACTGGTGGTAGTACTGCTTTGTACTGTATTATACTGCTACTCCGGTTGCAGATTGAGAGCCTTGGCTCAGTGGTTGGGCATGCGGTTGTGCAGCCTAATGACCCAAGTTCAATTCCTAGAATTGACAAGTAATGCATAGAGGTTTCCTTCATTTATTGAGGATCAAGTTTGATGTGTGGTGGAACCACTCATCAAAAAATATCTTGATACTCATTTAAAAAAAATTTGAGGACCATATTTATCTTGGTACTCATATTAAAATGGCCATATGCATCCCTAGTTGGTGCAGAGGCCGGGGAAGTGAAATTCTCCCTCATTTTTAGACTGAACGACCCCTTCGCACCTCTCGCGTCGCCTCCCCCCGGGCGACGCCGGGGGCCCCAACCCTAGCGCCGCCAGCACCTCCCCCTCCTGCCGCCGCTACCGCCGGCGTGGGCCGCGGTGGCGGCGGGTCTGGTGCCAAAGGTCCTGGGCGGGGGGGAGACGGCGGATCCCATCTAAGGCGGCGGGGGCGCGCGGCCCTTCTCATGAGATCCAACGGCGGCAGCTAGGACGAAGTATCCGGGCTGTGCGGCGGGGGCTCGAGCATCATCGTCGGCGGAGCGGCGGCCCTGCATGGACCGCGGCGGTGGCAGCGCCCCATCCGGCGAGGTGGGTTGTCCTGCTCGTGATGGTGACGACGGCTACTGCGGATCCAACGCCCCGTTTGGATCCGTCGTGGGGAGGCCTTTCGCCGACCGGCGGCGCGTGGAGGGACCGGTGAGGAGATGCCGGATCTCCGCCGGAGTACCGACGGCAACATACGTCTTCGTGGCGAGGTTCCGCTCGGTTCCAGCCAGCCACGAGGTCGGGAAGACGTGGCTTCCGATGAAAATCGTGCCAGACTGCGGTCTTGGCGGACGATGGCGGCGTCTCAGACGTCGTTTCCTTCTGGAGGCATCGTCGTTGTAGGCTTCATCAACCTGATCGGGAAGTTCCAGGGGAAACCCTAGATCTGAGTCTACCGGATCGGACAATGACGGTACTATCGGTATCGTTCTCCCTCATGGGGGCATCGTTTTGGAGCGAGTGCTGGTTGGAGGGGACAAGAGGAGGAGCGGTGTTTCATCTGCTCCATTGATGACGGTGGATCTCGACGGCGTGGCGCAGTGGAGACTCGGCGCCTGATGAGCGGAGATGGACTCGCGCAGGAGGGTGACGCTGCCTGGCGTCATGGTGGCGTCGGCGGCAGTTGGACCGGCCAAGGTTGATGCAGCGGTATAGCTCTGAAGATGAATTCGTGGCAGGTGGCTGCGGCCGCCTCATACCCGGCAGGGGTCCTGGTTGAGAAGCACGTCGGACTGGTGGGTGCCCATACCCGGCAGGCGTCCTGGGTGGGACCTCCAGTCTTTAGATGTTTAGGTTTGGCTATGTGGTCTGTTTGGTATTAGGCCCAGACTTTTTCAGCGCCCCTACATCAATTGGATAGGGATAGCGACAGTTGTTGCTTAGTTTGATGGCTTTAAACTTATTGTTGTATGACTCTCAGGGCGGTCCTGAGATTTTGGGGGCCCGGGGCGAGACTAAAAATCGGGGCCCTTAATATGGATGCCATAACAATAAAATTGAATATACATATATATATATATATATATATATATATATATATATAATATTTATTGATAACACTCAAATGCATCTAAATCGGTATGCATATAAAATAATTTATACATATTACCTTAAAATTTTCTTCTAACAATCCTCGATGCAAAGTCAACTATGATGGGATCAATGTCAATATCATCCAATAATTTCCTCTCGATGCATAATGTTGCCAAATCATTTAACCGCTCTGAACCATTGTTTACCTCAGATAGTTATTCAGTAATTTCAACTTTGTAAGCCAGTCACACTTATAGTAAATAAAATGTGGTAGGCAATGAAGATATTAGGATAACAATCAACTTCTTGGACATGCTCGAAAATATCCATTGCAAACATTACACCGTATGGCAAAGTTAATATTATAATCTTTAATTCAAAAATAAGATCATATACCTGAACATCTCATGAACCCTTAAGAGAGAAAGTTTGTGCAAGACTCTTCAAGTTCAATATCATGCAATGACTTAAGGGTGTCCGAGCTCAATAATAATACGAAT